TGAACAACTGATGTTGGCTAATGCTCCAATAAGGACTGCGCTCTAATCGAGAACTTCGAGGACACACATCAATTTTCAAAGAATATTCGCAGAGAGCAGTCGCGCATACCGAGGCGAATACGAAATTAAACCTTAGCAAGCGTAGAAAACAGCTGTACGAGGGGTGCGAGCCCTGTCGAACTCGCTGCGTTGAAATATTTGATCGCCAAAAACCTACTCTGCACACACAGATAACATAATCCCAGTATCCAAATAGACTAGTTATGCTCTCATAGTGCTTCGCCCATAGCACCAGTTCACCGCAGGTCAGTATAGAGCGAATTTTTTAGTCAGTATACTCCGCACTACACACAATGGCCTTAATCGTAAGACGATTAGTAAACCATCTCTGAAGAGACGGTAAGTGTCGCCATAAACTTCCGAAATCTAGCGAATAAATTGAGCTGACAGTTTATGCTAGGGTTGCTCATTTTCAAGCACTTAGTACGATGCCATGCACGAGGCAACCGCAAAAAATCTGGAATAAAACTAAGAAAGTCCGGAACCAACTTTAACAATGATGCCAGGCGACTATATCAGGACGCAATGAGCCAGCAAAGCAGGTCTCCTGTCTCAATCGCCAAATATAGCGAAGCTACGAGACTAACGTCGTTGGAGAAGGAGACCGCTTCAGTGGCAGAGTTATCATTGCCCAAGGTTTTAGACTGATCAGTTCGAACTCTGGCCTCCAACTTTCGGACGCCCGTGTTACTGCGACTGTTCTCCACCGTCTAGTTAGAAGAACAGCGGCGCATAACAAGACGAAAAATGGGTACTGTGCGGCATATCGTCTCATATAAAGCTATCATTATTGCATAATGATATAGTTTTGTCAACTGAGCGATCTGCCAGCGGTAAGAACAACACAAAAACCGAAACGGTAGTGTCTATAAGTTGGTCTAGATGAATGAGGGCTGACCAGCTAAGCAATAATTACGTCGCATCAACCCTTCTAATGCTGCCAACGGCCTTAGCAGAGATTTCGGAAGCTTCTGATTGTATAGCCAGTTGCAAGCAATGCAGAACCCCTGTGTCATGTGGTTTGAGTACTTGTGTGTGGATTACAACTTCGCTTGAATATTCGAATACCCACACTTATCAGCAATTCAGTTACCCCTGGTTAGTTTGTTCCGCAAAAAAATATATACGCGTAAGCGATTTCTTCTCCATCGAATTTTCAGCAAGATAAATCACGGTTTAGGTTAAAACAAATTCCCATTACGTAGGTGAAACATGGCCCATTTTATCACTTGTAAGTGATCGATTAATGATTATTATGTACCCTTTTCTAAATTTGGCTTCGATTACGTAACTGCCAGATCATAACAACCTGTATTATGTGTCAACGCTAGTCCCCAGCTAAGGTGGATCGGTTATGTGCGGTGTCAACCTGTTGAGAGTGCCATCTCACCCAAAACTGGTATTGACTAACAACGTCGGGAAATTTGTGAGCCATGAGCACACGAATAGGCAAATGTTTATGCCTTACGTGGCGGACGTACAAACTGGCTGAATATGATCCCTGAGGGTCAAGTGAGAAATAAAGAAGCGGCCAGCTCGTAGGACAAAGTGGACGGAAAAAGTGCCTGGAAACTTTGTCGCAAGTCGATATACATGTGGAAAAAATGATCAAGTTGTTTGCATTAGATAGTCTAGAAAACAATAAAAATCGGTCGACAACAACAAATTGATTTATAACGAGTACGTTGCCTTGGTATCATATCTGAAAATGCACACTTCCAAAATAACATTAAGGCGAGAATTGCCTTCGGCTGAATCACGAAATACGTTTCTATCAATAATTTTAGGTAAACGGTAGTTTTTCGTTCAATTAATGAAAATTTTATGACGGAGATGGGTTTAAAACGCAAATGTTTGACAAGTAGAACTTGAAGTCTACGGCTGGCCTTGTTTGCAATCTAACTGACGTTTATTAAGTATATCCCGAGATAAGATTATTGAATAATATTGTCAGTATATAACGAATGGGGAGGCTACCAAACACCTTACCTTGCTTAAGGTCAGTGATATAAGTGGAAA